CCTTCCCCTCCCTGCCAAGCCTGGCACCTCTAGGCTCAGGTCACACCTCTCCCCCAGGTCCCCAACCCCCCTCTCCGTAATGGGCCAGTCAAGGCCACCACCCACTGCGCCACCGCTGCTGCGAGCTGTCTCCTCACTGCCACCCCCTTTCTCTTCCTGCAGGGCCTTTCTCAAGGCAGACGCCTTTTGAGGGCCCGCCACCAACTGAACGAGCTGGCACGGGGAGGCCAGAGACAGCGGTTGATCCATCTTCGTTCCCTGCCAGGCAGGGAGGATTCATCCTTGCCTGGGATTAAGTTTTCCTTTGGAGGTTTGTCATTCCAGCCCATCAGCCCGGAAATGAATGTTCCCATAAGAAGCAGTAATAAGGCTGAGATGGGTGGGGGCCTTTATGGGCTGAAACACGAGAAGGGGAGAGACGCAGGCAGACAGAGGGCCCGCGTGCCCGAGGCCAGGGGACGGACGTCCTGCTTTCCTCATGTTTATTTTTCTAATGTCCCAGGTGAGGTCATGATCACCTTGATTTTACACGCAGGGAAACTGCTCAGCATGAGGGCTTGCTTGCCGCGCAGCTTTGAGGGGGCAGATCCAGAAGCGAACCCCATCCTGCCTGTCTCGGAGGTCGTGCTCTTTCTGGGGTGTCCCACTGCAGTGGAGGGAGGCCAAGGAGTGTGCTCGCCATCCCTGAGAAATCCCCCTCCACACATGGGCTCCCTGTGCGCGCCCCCCCCCCACCGCTGCCCCCTCCAGGCAGGTCCTGGGCACAGCCAAGGTCTCTGGAGGGTTGTTCCTGACAGTCTCACCACATTTAACTGCTAGTGGAGAGACGTGCAATGACACTGATTTCCCATAATCCTAACGCAGTTAAAATTGTTATTCTCTCCAAGTCTTGCCGTGGCTGTCGTGGCAACCATTATGCTCAGCAGCATCACCGCGGTGCTCAATGTCTGTGGGGCTCCCCCCACACCCCATGTTGTCTCCCGAAGCCACAATAACAGCACCGGGGCCCAGCATGACCATTGTTCCTCAAATGTGGCTGGAAAGGATAAAGCCCACCCAGAAGGCCCAGAGATGGCGCGCTCGGCTCCTGTAAAAGCGGTCTTTGGAGTTCTGTGCAGGGGACTGTGGTTTGAGAGGACCGCGGGAGGGATGGAGGACACAGGCAGCCCGTCCGAGCAGCGCGGGGCTGGAAGCCAGCCTTGCCGAGGGGCCGCACAGCGGCCTCCCGGGGGAGGCTGGACGCTGGGCCCTGTGGTCCCCATGCAGACGGTTGGCCAGGGTTCGGGGGCCCCGCGCATCCCCTCCTTCAGTCAGACCCCGGCGCTGCGGTCCTACGGGGAGAGGCTAGCCTCCGGAAGCACGTCTCCTGAGCTGTGCAACGGGGAGAGAAAGTGCCCACCTGAAAGGGGTGTGGGGACAAGGGAGAGAAAGCAGGTGGTGTGCTAATAGAGCACGATGGTCGGCACCCAGAGAGTAAACGCTTACTAAATGTTAGTGGCAGAGTTTGAGACACCTCCTCCAGGCAGGCCCTGGGCTGGGGGCTGCTGCTGCTGTAGCAGACGAGTCAGGCAAGGCCACAGATGGGGGCGGTGGGGTCCGACCGGGGCCAGGACGGGGAAGGGCCTGGGGAGGTGGGAGCCGATTCTGGAGTGGTGGGTGGGGCGGGAAGGGGGGCAGCTCAGGGAAAGCACCTCCTGTTTACTGGAAAGCCCCGAGCACACTTCGACCTTCTCACCTTCTGAGCCCCTGGACTTGGCTCCTGTTTCTGGGAAACAGAAGCTTTGGGAAGACTGGGGAGGAAGGGGGAAGGTCCCCAAGTGGACTCGCAGATCTGCTCACAGTACCCTGCCTGCCCCAAATGACTCCCTCTCTGCACCATCCTGGGCCCCTTTGTTCTGCAGCCTGCACCTACTAGTGATCCCAGGGAACCAGAGACTCTCAAAATAAAGATAATGATTAAAACATCAAACTGTTGTAGGTAAAGCAGTACGATACTGGCGTGAGACTGGAGAGAGAAGTGGAAACAGATCTTTTTTTTTTTTTTTTTTTTAAGTAGGCTCCCTGCCGAGCGTGGATGGAGCCCATTGCAGGGCCTGAACTCACGACCCTGAGATCAAGACCTGAGCTGAGATCAAGAGTCAGATGCTTACCTGACTGAGCCACCCAGGTGCCCCCAGATCTAAATACATTAAAAAAAATTAATATAAAAGTGTCATCTCAAGTTAGAGGGAAGGAATGGATTACTGAACAGAGAGTTGGGACTTGGGAAGCCATCTAAAAAAGAACAAAGATCATATTATACCCCCAAATAAATTCCAGAAAGATAAAACAGGTAAATGTTGGGAAAAAAAAAAAAAAAGTAGAAACCTACAATTACCAAGTGATACCAGCAGAGACATTTTTTTCTGGGAAAGACTTTTCTAAGTCTGACACAAAACCCAGGAGACATCAAAGAAATGACACATTCACACCCTGAAAAATAAAAAAGTTCCTATGGCAAAAAACACAAGCCCAGTCGAAAGACGAATTAGGAAGAATTATTTGTAGTTCATCAGCCAAGGGGCTAATTCTCTGAATCTATAAAGCGCTCCTCCAAATCAATAAGTGAAAAGCAAATCCCATCGCAAAAAGGACAAAAGAGAGGAACAGCCAGTTTACAGAAAAGGAAACCAAAGTGACTCCAGCATGTGGAATATGCTGCTAACTCATGAGGGAAACCCACATTTAAACTAGTGGCATCTTCACCCGATGGATTGGCCAAAGTCAAGAAATCGGTGAACGCTTTATGGTGAGGGTGTTTTCTAAGCCCAGACTGCGGGGCGTGGATTGGTGGCAGTGGGCAACGAGGCTACGTGGTAAGAACTCTTTACCGCACAGTTCCCCGCCCAGCTCACCGCCACACTGCGCTAGCAAGGAAACGAGAGCGCGGGGATGTCGGGCAGCCCCATCAGCCGCAGGAACCAGGGATGAGCCGGTGGGGCAGGGGTGAGGGGTGGACGCCAATGGGAAGGCTCTCAACGCCCGAAGGGCAAGGAGCTCTGGTTTTGCCAAGGTGCAGAAGAGAGGGAGCAGGCTACTTTTGGGGAAAGAAGGAGGAAAACAGGAAATGTACATGCATATTTGCACATACTTAAAATATCTCTGGGAAGATAGGGAGATTTGCATTCCATACTTCCTAGTACTTTTAAAATTTTGAACCATGTCAATGTATTAGATGGTCAAACATTGGTTAAAACAAAAAATAGGATTCTTTAGAATCTTAGAATCAAGTGACAGAATCTTCGAAGCAGAACAGTAGAATTTCCAGGCCCTGCTTGAATCCTCCCAACCCCCAGAAACTCCCTCCCTCCTGGTGCAGTGGGTCCAGCTATGGATCAGCTCTGCCTAGAAAGACCTTGTTCACCCCGAGATCTCACGGGAGGGGACTGAGGGGGGAGGAAGGCAGGACTGGCACCCCAGGAGCTGGCCCTGGTGCCCACGAAGGGATCTGATCCTTCCAGCCCCAGGGGACGACTCCCTGTACTGATCTGCTATCCGGGCTGGCTCTGGGCCTCCGGAGGCCTCTCCACCAGGATCAAGCAGGTGTGACCCGGCCTGCTGAGAAGCAGGTGTGAGCCAGAGGAGGGGACCCCAGTGGGTGCCGGCCCCACCTGGCGTGCCGGCTGGGGCAGTTCTTTCAAGTGTCAGCTGCTCAGCCAGGAGAAGAAAGTGCCTCATGAGGGGACTTCAGAAGCCCAGAGGAGACCTCGGGATAGAGTGACAGGCAGGAGGAAGGGGGAGGGCGGCCAGCTGGTCTTCACTCCTCTCAGACTTCAGTCACCAGGGTCTGACTCCCCAGCGCCTGACCTCGGAGGCCCCCTGGATGCCCACTGGCACCTGCCACTCCACACAGCCCAGCTTCTTGCCCCCACGCCCCCCCCGTCCTTCTGGTTCCTGCTCTGTGTCCCCCTTCTAGCAGGAAGTGAGCCCTCCCCTTGTCACTCTGCACCCCTCTCACGGGCTCAAGGTTACTTCTGGACATTTCTGCCCCTTCCTAAACAGCATGCTCACTCTGAGCCAGGCTCTGGGAAAAAAGAAATGTCCAGCCTCCCTCCAAGGCCCACGTGCTCCAGGGAAGGAGGGGCTCTCTCGATCGGCTTTCTACCACACCCCATGCCCACTGAGGCCCGGGGAAGGACAGGCATCGGCCACATACATTTAGCACCACGCATGCAATCAGCGGCCTGAGTGCTGAGGCTCGGAATGTATGTATGGGCCCAGTCCTGAGGGGGCACGGGGGACATGGAGATGGGCAAAGCCAACCTGGCCTGCAGGGAGCTCCCAGACTGGGGAGGGCTGGGGCGGGGGAGCCCGGTGGAAGTGGGCAGCACAGACGCTCAGGACTGTGGCAGGGGAGCCTGCCAGGGCTGGACGATCTTGAGCAGGCTGTAGGTAGGGGAGGCAAACCAAGGAAGGAGTCCAAAGGAGAGAGAAAGGGAGGGCACGGGCGAAGAGGTAAGGTAGAGAAGAGGCCGCCGTGCTGGGAGGGCCTGGGCTGTCTCATGCAGCAGAAGCTGAGGTGACCGTCCCACACAGGAGATGTTAGCGGGGCCCAAGTCCTGCAGGGCCTCAGTGCTAGTCGGGGAGGTGGGATCACCCCGGAGCAAGGGGAGCGGTGGGAAGGGCTCTGAGTTGGGAGTCCCATCACTCGGCCGAGTTTTACAGTGGGGGCTCACTGAAGAATGAGGAGGAGAGGGGGCCGGGCCTGTGACCTGTGTGCTGGCCAGTCAGCAGCTACAGATCTAGGATCTTACTAAGTGGGAGACCCTGGGCAAGTTTCATAACCTCGCTGTACCTCAGTTTTCCCAACTGCAGGATGGGATGATAACAGTACCTACATCACAGGGCTACCGTGAAGGTTGAATGAGTTAACGGAGGCCAGCCTGTGAGAACAGGTGCGGAGTGAGTACTCTGGTAGCTACTGGAACAACTGTCATGGGGATCCAGAGGAAGGATGGCCTCCTCCCAAGGAGCGAGGACGGCATGTCCAAGCTCGTCCTCTGCCGCTGCAGCCTACAGCCTCGACTCCCTTCCCCCAGCCCCCGCGGAGGTAGACCTTACCTTGTGCAGCCAGTGCAGGTTCATCTGCTGGCCCACGGCGATGTGACACAGTGCCAGGACCTGAAGAGGGGGTCCACAGGGGGACAGTCAGGGCCCTGTGTGACCCGAAGGTTTCTGCTAGTTCCCAGACACGCTGCCACCCGCTGCTACTCTGGGCCTGGCTCGGAGCCGTCGACAAACCTCCCCATAGGCCATGGGAATGCCCAGCCCAGCCCAAGCCTGGCCACCTCCCAGATTCTTCTAGGCCTCTGGCTTCTCCTCCTCTACAGTTTCTCCCTCAAGAGCTCACTGGGCCCTGCTGCACTTGGGCTGCCCAGTGAATGTTTTGGGAGTTCGAGGCCCCAGGATTCTGAAGCAGACGTGAGCCTAGTCCCCCGAGAGCCCCCAGTCCAGCAGGGGGATTGACCCGAGTCTGAGGGAATAGAGAATTGGGAGCAGGAACCAAAGCAGAAGCTTCTGGAAGAGTCAGTCTGCAGTGGGCTCTAAGAGCAAGGGGGCTCGCACTGGGTCAGGAGGAAAACATTCCAGGATGGGGCAAAAGCAAGAGGACCTCCCACCTCAAGGGAGACCAAGCCCCAGCAGTGCAGGAGGCTGAGAGGCCCTGGGAAAAGCCAGCTTGCCCCTTTTGACCAGGGTGGCTCGCCCTCCCCCTGGGAGCAGGCCCGTCTGCCCTCTGGGGCAGCCCCACCTACCAGGAGGCCCGCGATGTAGGTGAAGGCGGCAGCAGTGGTCACGAGGATGGGTACAGACCAGTCACTCCAGTAGCCCATGCGGCTGTAGAGGTACCTGCCCGGAGGGGAAGAGGTCAGACCTGCATCAGGGAACCAGGAGGTTCTCCGGGGCCAGTGGGCCTTCGGCTCCTACAGCCAGGCTCAGCGACCAGGCCCGGGACCGCTCCGTAACGTCATCACGGTTTCCGTGCTCACCAGTCCGGCCAGTGGACACTGGGGCACGCCAAGAGGCATAACGAAGAGAACAACAATTCACCATAATTCTACTGCCCAGAAGGAACCATCACCAAGACTTTGCAGACCTCTCTTCCAGTGGGTTTCCCCTGGTTTGACATATTTGTAAAACAGCAAAGCCAGGACCCTGCCACATCTAGCATGTGCTCAGCTTGGGTTTCGGAGGGAGGTGCAGAGGGTTCCAATCCCCACTCTGTCTCCTACTGGCCTGCAGGACCCTGCAGAGGTGACGGGCTTCCCTGAGTCTAAGATGCCGCTGACTGTGACATTCATCTCAATTTCAATGCTAAAATATGAAAATTTGGGGATCCTAGGATCGATCAGATGTCATCCCTGACTTCTCTGAGCCTTCTTTTCTTCATCTATAGGATGAAGGGCTCAGGGCTTCCTGAGCACAAAGTGAGGCAAGGCATGTGGTAAGTCCTCAATCAATTCTCTTCTCATTATTCACGCAAGAATTTACTGATGTCAGTAAAAATCCCGAGGAAGCATGACTTTCGAACAGCCAGCCATGTGGTCTGCTGAATTAATGTGCCATATGTAGCCAACTTTCTACCAATGAAAGCAGTTTCCAATGATTCACTCTTATAAATAAACACACAAAAAATTTTTTTGCACATAGCTTTCTGTATTATTAATTATTTTCTTAGGATAGGATCCTACAAATAGAATTACAGGGCCAAAGGGAATGAACTTTTTACGGCTCCTGATTGCTGCTGCTTAGTTGCTCTCCAGAAAGACTGAACCACCCACATGCCCCCTGGACAGCTTGGGACACTGAGGCTCAGGGAAGGCAGCAGTTTACTCAGGGTAATCAGAGAACGTGAGCTGGCACCAGGCAGTTTCCGACTTGCTGCCATCTTGGGCCTGGGCAGGGGGCTGGGAGGGGACACCAGGAGGACACTGTGGGGCACCTGCCTTCTCCTGCACCCTCCCGAGACCCTCATCCTCAGATTCCAGGGGAAAAATCTACTGCTTAGAAGATCACTGAGTTCACTCTTCTCACCGTACAGCTGAAGACACTGAGGCCTAAAGAAGGGCAGGACCTCCTCCTTGAGAAGGACTCCTGCAAGATGTTTTGGTGACACTTGTCTCTCACTTTCGGCAGGGAGCCCTGCTGGACAGCAACGGCCCACACGGCCTCTCCCTGGCTCTCCACATCCCGCCCGGACCACCCGTTTCTCGCTCACAACCTCTCACTGCGTGAATGATCCCCAGACCCTGTCGAGACCAGGAGGGCCAGGCCAGGGTCTCCTGCATCCCAGCACCGACTCCAAGAAACTTCAGTGACAGGCTGAGGGAGCTGCGGGTCTTCAGGAGGTCCCTAAGTCCCAGGCAGGCCCTCCCCCTGCCGCCTCCCCAACAGGGCAGGCACCCATCCTCTGCTTGAACTGCCCAGTGACAGGGCACTGAGTCGCTGGGCAGAGTGAGGTCGTTCTGTGGACAGCGTGACCGTCAGCCACGCTCGAGTCCCTTATCTGCCCGCGTCTTGCTGTGTGACTTTGGACAGTCTACTTAGCCTCTCTGAGCTTCAGTCTCCTCAGGCGGTCCTCAAACTGTTTTGGCACTAACCGGCTCTGTGGCCGTGGGGGAGTCCTGCCCTCTGGGGCCTTAGTTTTCCCATCCGTACATGATGGGGGTGGACCCGCTCCAGTTCAGCACAACTGTCCGAGGTGTGCAGCGGGGGGCCAGCAGGCAGGTTTCTGTTCCCGCACGACAGTGCCGTGCTTTGGATACCTGGGGGGATGAATAATTGATGGATGGCAGCTAATAAAGGCCAGAGGCCACCTCTGGGACTCAGGCTCATCTTGCCGGGTGGCAGGCGTATAGCCACACATCCTTTCTTGGGCTCATTACGGGGCCACAGCCTCGTGCCGCACAGAGGGGAGTCGCTGCCCAGACTCCGTTAACAGCGTCTTAGGACCATCCCAGAGTCCTAGAAATCCCACATTCTAACCTCATGGCTGCCGCCTTCCAGCCCGGGAAGCGGCCCTGAGGGTGACGTGGAGCTCTGAGCCCTCCCACAGCCAACCTCTCATTCCATTCTCAGAAAGACCTGATGAGCGGGGCGTTATCCCATTTTATGGAAGAGGAAACTGAGCTTAAGAGGGGCTCGACTGAGTGTGCTCATGGTCACACCACTTCTAGCCGGAAGAAAAAGGCAGCACGGGATGGGGAGTGAGGAGGCCTGGCTTCCGAGCCCCACCTCTGTTCCCACTGCCTGTGCGACCTGGGGCCTCAGTTTCCACACCTGTCAGTGGAGGAGTTCCTCGTTAGGGCCCAGGGAACTTGCTCCCCTTCCCGTGCCTTTCACTGTCTGACAAAGGCAGGCAACAGAGGGGCTGAGGAAGAAGCAGGTACCCTCGGGTACCCAGGTACCAGCGTCAGGCGGCCCTGCCCTTGGACCTGAGGCTCGTGCCCACAAAGGACCCTGAGCTATCCCAGAACCGTAGCATCCGCCAGCCCTGCCCAAGGTCCTACTCAGGGATTTCGGATGCCTGGCATCACCTCCTCTGCTGAGGCCCTCGGTCTTTTTCTGGGCCTTGGGGTTCTTGTCTACGATGAGGTGCAGAGGCCCCAGACCCCGGCTGAACCCTGCCCAAGTGTGCCGTTCCCGTTTTCCATGATAGCACACCAGGAAGGAGTCAGCCTGGGAGACGGGTTCAAACCACAGCCCCCAGTGCCTGCCCAGGCCCCCGTGCTCCCCCTCCCCACTCACCAGTTGAATTCATCATAGTCGTTGCGCACTTCCCACCAGAAGTAGAGCCAGGTGAGCGTGAGGCCGAAGGTGAAGGTGAGGAGCAAGAACCAGAGGCGTTCCCACTGGAAGAGCAGAGCAAGGAAAGGGGTCAAGTGAGGTCAGGGGCTGGCCCCTCGGGCCACCTCCCACCTAGAATGTTCCTCCTGCCTCCCCCTTTATAGCTAAACCTGCCAGGCAGGGATTACTACCCTCTTCATCCTGGTGGGGACCTGAGGCTCAGAGCGGGAAGCGACCTGCCCAACACCACAGAGCCCAAAGCCACAAAATGGTAGGGAGCTAGGGGCGGCATCAGGCCTCCACCCCAGGGGTCTCCTCTGCCGCTCTGGCTGAGGTCTGTCCTGGATGCACCAGTATGCCCATGCCGGCGATGGACCCCAGGAACAAAGGCTTCGCACTGGCACGGTACCCGGCCGTCTGGGAGGTCACATCCCTCACCTCCTTCCCTTCCCACATACACCTGCAGTGCAGGTGCTCCTTCTCACCTCTGCCCCATGCTACCCAGACGCACTGAGGCCCAGAGAGGTGAAGCTACTTGCCCTAGTCACACAGCAAGCCAGCAGAGGATTCAAGACCAGCGCCCCAGCCTCTGGACTTGAAGCACAGGGTTCTGCGCCCCCCCGTACCAGGCACCGGCCCCTCAGGCCTAGGCCACGTAGCCCCCCTAGCTCCTGCAGGGATGGGGGTGGGGGCCCCGACACTGCTGCTTCCAGAGAAGTCTGCAGGCCCTTCCGGCTGGGCCCTCAGGTTTATCCCTGCTTTCGTCTGTCCTCTTATCTGAGAAGCACAACCAGCTGGAACATCCTGCTCTCCGGGAAACTGCTGAGATCATCAGCACAATCCAACAGCGGGTGAGGGGAAGTCAGTGCAGAAAAGAACCAAGGCCACCCCCACCTTGAGGGGCTGCAGGGCTCGGGTGGCCCAGGCATCTCTGGCCTGGCCACGGCCCAGAACCCTGCGGGCTCCCCGCAGCTCCCCGAGGCTTCTCTGACCCTTGCAGCCCAGAGGCATGGCTCTAACCCCGGTGTAACCTCTTGATGGCTCCTCACCGCTTAGCCAAGCAAGGAGGCCCCTCTGGGGGTGTTCCCCTCACCTCTCGAGCTTCATCCCCTTCCCCCACCAGTTCCCTCACCCTGGCTTATTTGCCTAACATCACCATTCACCTTTCAGTCAGCTCAAATGTCACCTCCTCTGTGAAGTCTTCCTGGACTCCACCTCGGCCACCCACGCCGCTCCCACAGCATCAGTGCCCCCGTCTTTAAACTCACGCCCTCTGCACCGTCATCTGCTCATGGGGCCGTGTCTCCCAAACTACCGGGGGTCCTCAAGCCCACTCTGCCTCTCGCAGCACGCAGGAAAGGCCCTCAAACCCGGAGGAGCCATGACGCTCCACACGAAGCACCCACTCCGTGCCTCGCCCTGGGCAAGAGGGTCCGAGCTTGGGTGACAGGGAAAGCAGCCGCCTCCACTCACCGTCCCGTACAGAGCCAGGCTGCCTTGCTTTGCCCCACTTTGTACATAAACAGAGCTGTGGAGGTGACAACTCCCTGGAACCATCTTTCCAGCAGGTGGTGGTGGGTGGCCTCTTCGACGGTCAACCACTTGTGTCTGTCCTGCCCAGACAGAGAATGGCACGAGCCCCAGCTCTCAGCCTGCAAGGCTCAGCCTCGCTCGGGAGTGGAGAAACCCCAGATGGGAGCAGGGCAAGCCACGGGCCCTCCTGGAGCACTGGAACCCTGACAGCCACCCACAAATGGCCGGGACGGTTTGGGGGGAGCAGAGAGGGGCCATGGGAAGCCCCGTCGGAGCCAGCACCCCCAGCCGGGCGGGCCTAGCCTCCCCCGGGCCTCGACTTCCCCAGAGTCCCTTGTCCCTCTTGCTGCCTCCAGTCCTTATTTGCTCACAAATATGAATTGATTCGGCCCCCATTGCCTGCAGAGTGCAGCCGGCTGGTCCCGGGCCAGCTTAAACATCGGTCTTCCAAGACTGAGCCACCTCTGGTCATGTCATGCCCCAGCTCAAGAGTCTCATTGGCTTCAGCCCTCCCCTGTGCCATCACCCAGGCATTGCAGGCCTCGCACCGAATCGCCCGCGGTCCCTCAAGTGGCCTCTTTCAAGCCCCGTGCCTCTGCACAAGCCATACCCTCCATTTAGAAGGCAATCCCTCCCCGGTTCGCGGGGCGACCCTCCTCCTCCCTGAGGCCTTCCCTGTCCCAGCAGGGAGAACCTCCTCTCCACAGAGCTTCCAGAGTCCTGGCCCCCGTGTCTGTTCGGGCAGAGACCCCGCAGCTCTGAAACTGTATATGTCGGTCTCCTCTGCGGTACCGTAAGCGCCTTCAAGATCTGGGTGGTCTTCATATTCCCAGGGTGGGGTGGAAACTTAAGAAAGATTTGCTAATGAAATGGTAGGTGAGAAAAGACCCTTTCTCCTGCTCCGGCATGAGGACGCCCACCCAGGAGAGATTTTGCTGGGGGCTTACCGGCCCCCCCGGAGGGGCCCGTGGGCTTCCGCACAGCCCCGGCTGGCAGCGGTGGGGGGCCATCTGTCCACAGACATCGCTCCACTGCAGGGGCAAGGCTGCTGCACCCGTGGCCCGTAGAAGAGGTCCCCAGAGGGCCGGGCGTGAGGGTGAGCCTCAGCCAACGATGGCTCCTGGCCCAGGCAAGCAGCCTGGGATTCAGGGACCGCGGCAGGTTAGAGAACCCGCTCCAGGGGCTGGAGAGGGGTCTTAGGCTGAGGTACGATGCAGGACCCAGGGGCAATTCTGACAGGTGGCCAGAAGACCACAGGGGCCACTGCCCCCACTCGGCCAGATCCTGACAATGGGGCGGAAGGACAAGGCAAGACTGAAGCGCCACACTGGCCTGGCTGAGAAAACTAGAGCTGGCAGGTGCGCGGCGGAGACGGGGGCCCGGCCTAAGCACCAAGGAACTAGGAACCCCATCACCAGAACCAGGCATGAGCTGGGGCTGGGGGCCACCTAGAGATGAAAATCTTGGGAGAGGGGCACCTGGGTGGCTCAGTCAGTTAGGCGTCTGCCTTCGGCTCAGGTCATGATCCTGGGATCCTGGGATCGAGCCCCGCGTCAGGCTCCCTGCTCGGCGGGGAACCTGCTTCTCCCTCTCCCTCTGCCTGCCGCTCTGCCTACTTGTGCTCTCTCTCTCTGTCAAATAAATAAATAAAATCTTTAAGAAAGAAAGAAAGAAAGGAAAGAAAGGAAGAAGAAGGAAAGAAAAAGAAAGAAAGAAAGAAAGAAAGAGAAAGAAAGAAAGAAAGAAAGAAAGAAAAAAAGAAAGAAAAAAAGAAAGAAAAAAAGAAAGGGAAAGAAAGAAAATCTTGGGAGCTAGAAGCCGGGGCCCCAAGGCCACAGGGAGCCAGTAGATGGGGATGAAGAGCCCCAACCCCAGTGGGGAGGCAGCAGGTCATTGTAAGAACAATCAGAGGAAAAATCTGGATGGCAAGGACTGGAAGAAAGGGGAGGGGAAGGCCAGGCACTGGTGGAGGAAGTGGTGGGCAGCAGCTCCACCACAAAGAGGCTCCAAACAGCACCAGGGGTCCTCTGTCGGGGCCACGACAGGGGAGAGGCCTGGGCCTGCTCCCAGGAGGCGCGGGCTCCGAGGTCACGGCCAGCTGCAAGGGGTGGTGGACCCATCGGCCCTCCCTCACCTCTCCCAGTCTGCACGGGGCCTGGAGCTCTCGATTTGTGGGTTTTTATCCCCATCCAAGAGCAAATGAAGACCCCAAGCCTCAGAGAAGGGCCAGCACATGAGCTTAGCGAGCTGTGGACCCCATCACAAGAAGTGGCACTCATGTCATGGTTACTCTCGGTGTGTATATTTATCACGGCCCTTTTCCAGCAGATCCTGGACATGGTCCTGGAGGAGGGGAGCCTTTTGCTATTTTGCACAAAGGCTCAATATGGGTGAAGAGAGGGAAGTCAGAGGTTGAGCTACATACCGAAGGTCACCTAGTAGGGGAAGATGGAGGTGGGATTGAACCCAGGTGTCCTGACAGGAGGCAGTGCTCTGCAGGTCCCCTTGAGAGTCAGCCCTGCACAGCTCTCCCCCACACCCCCCCCTAGCCAGCTGGGACCCAGTATAGTAGTCCCAGGCCCAGCCTGGCCCCTGCGATTCCTCGCTCCTCTCTCCCTGGGCTCCACCCCGGACCAAACCTCCTTCTCCTTCAGCAAGCGCCCCCCATCCCTCCAGCCCTTGAAGCTCCCCTTTTCCTGAGCACTTCTGCACAGACTCTTGGTACCCACCAACTTGGCCCTCGATCATATTCTGAAATTTGGAGATGGAAAGAGCCTGGGCTCGGGAGGCAGATGGACCAGTCTCTGCCTCTTGGGCAAGTTAACCCCTCTGAGCCTCAGTTTCCTCACCTGTAAAATGGGGGAAAAAATCCCGTACCTTGGAGGGTTGATAGTAAATGAGGTGATGTAGGTCAAGTGGCACATAGGAGGGGCATGAAAGGGGACCGTTCCCTAGGCTGTGGACTCCTTCAGGGCAGGGATGGCTGAACTAGGTCTGTGTGCCCTGGGCCCACATCCTGCAGAGCACAAGGTGGTGCTCAGATCTGGTGTGAAGAACAGAAGAAGGTGCCAACATGACTGACCCAGAGAGGCTTCTGGCTACCAGCGGACAAGGCCATCATCCAACCCAGACATAGCCTCAGGCTGAGCCCGTGGCCCCAAGGAACCGAGGGAAGGAGCTCTTGTGATACACAGCCTCCTTCCTTTCAGAGCCTTCTAGCCACGAGTGGAACAAAGGTCAGGTAGACCCTGAGCTGACTGGGCAGCAGTGGGCGCAAGGGGAGGCGCAGAGCAGCTGGGGAAGGGGCCAGGCCCTGGCTGTGAGCTGGGTAGGCTGCTCCATCCCTGCGCTGGCAGCAGGGGGTGAGAGAGAACCCCAGAGGCCCCAGCCCCAGAGGCTAGGGCACCCAGCCCCGCACCCCCTGCCTCATCTCCTCCCATGCCTGCCCCCACCCTCCAGGAAGACCGGTCCCTCCATCCCGCACGCCAAGCAACAGTGTGCCAATTTCCCAGAGGCCCCTGCTCCTCCTCACTGTCTCCTGCTGATTGTCACGTCTTCTCCTCACCCCTCCTCGCCTCTGTTCCGCCCACCCCAGAGCCTTCTGCATTCGGAGAAAAACGTGCTGAAAGAGCTTATAAGCAGCGTGGGGTGGGGGGGGCTCTCACAGCCCAAGGCCTGGCCGCAGCCACACCCCCAGCCCTGCCCAGGAAGTGTGGGCCCAGGCCCTGCAAGCTTGCTGCTCAGCTCAGGCCCCGGCCCTCCCCATGCTGCCGCAGCCCCAGGCCAGGATGCACACAGACACCGCTCCCGCTCCCAGCGGCCCCGCAGGGTCCAGAAGCCAGCCTTCCAGTCTTGGCTGGGCCACAGACTTCAGAGTCACAGGATGGCGGAGACGGCGCTGGGTGCTGGCCTCCTGTTCCCCACCTGTCACCCTGGGGGCAGAGACTACCTCTGCTCCTGCAGCAACAGGGACGGGCCCTCTCCCTCTGGAGTGAACGTCCTTCCTTTCCAAGCAGCCAGATAGAGGCACCCTGCCTTGGGAGCCCGGCGACACTGGCTTCGGACCCCAGACTGGCCACCTACTAAATGGGTGGCCTTGGAGAAGACATGTGTTTATCCCACAGCCACTTCCTGCTCTGTTCGCGGGGATGACATCACCTCCACCTCACGGGAGGGCTGCCAGGCCCGCACGTGATTACAGATGTAAGCTGTAAGTCGCCAACTCCACGGTTGTTCCTATAATTATCATTTCGCATCTGACAGCCCTTTAGTTATGCGAAGACATCGATCAAGACGTCCCCCGCCCTCTGCTCTACGCCCAGTTTTTTCCGGCTGCTCCTGAGGACAGCCGGTAAGCTCACCTGCCCCCAGCCCAGGGCGGGGTGCCAGGGTCGGCAGGGCACAGAGGGCCGGCCCACTTCTGCAGGCTGCGGTCCTAGGAGCAGGCCTGGAGGAAGGAAGGAGACCCTGGTACAGCAGCTGCCCCGGGCCGCTCCCAGCCCCGCCCTGCTGGCGGCGGGAGGACAGAGCCCTGTGTGAGCTCTTCACAGAGTGGGGGCCCGGTGCTCCTGAGCCCTTCACTGGCTCCGGCTCCTCTCATCCTCTCTTCTCTTGGCTCTGCAAAGCAGGCGCTACAGTTAGAGGGAAGCGGGGCTCAGAGAGGGCAAGTGACTTGCCCAAGGCCACAAAGGGCAACCCTAATAGTGAAGCCAGAATTCACACCCAGGTCTGAGCGCCTTCAGCATCTCCAGCTGTCCCAGAGCAACAATAAGCAGGACAGGTAATTATCCTTGTCTGACCAAGGAGGAAGTTGGCTCAGAGGGGCAAGGCCGGGCCCAAGGTCACCAAGTGAGTCATAGGCAGTGCCAGGCCAGGAACCCTGGCATTTCAGTTAGAAAAGAGTTCAGAGAGCGCCTCGCCTCATCCTCTACAGATCCAATTCCGAAATGGAGAAACTGAGGCCCAAAGAAGGGGGATAGCCTGGAAACAAGGATATAGGATTAAGACTTGGTAAATTAGTACAGAAAGGATGGAGAATTCAACAGATGGTGTTGGGACATCTAGACATCCATTTGGTAAAAAATTAGACCCCCTACCTCACACCCCATACTGAACCAAATCCCAGCAGCTCCCCTCCGTGTCCTTGCCACCAACCTCTTCCAGTCACCCTAGACACATGTGCTGAGCCCTGCACAGTGGGAGGTGAGTGAGGCCTGGAATCCCCTCTGAGCGACCCCCATGGATGACTGAGCAGACAGCAGGCAATTCCAATCCTAGGAATCAGTGTGATGAACGGGGCAGGCATGGGCTGCTCAGGAGCACACAGCCAATTACAGGAGGAGGGACAGTCTGGAGGGCTTTCTGGAGGAGGAAATGCCTGCAGCAAAGCTGGAAGGAATGGGCCTGCTGGGATGACAGGTCAGCGAGCCTGGACTGCGGCAGAGGGAGGGAGCAGAAAAGTATGAAGGCACAGAGCTTGGCAGCTTCTGTTGGGGGGAACTAGCTTCTTTTCCTATGGGCGTATAAAAGCTTTTTCTATGTGAGGGTATTTACCTTCATCTATACTGTATATTTTCTCTTATTTGATCATTTCACTTTTATTTATTTTGCTTTTTGTATAAAAATTTAAATTTTCGGGGTGCCTGGATGGCTCAGTCGGCTAAGTGTCCGACTTCAGCTCAGGTCATGATCTCAGGGTCCTGGGATCGAGCCCCGCATTGGGCTCCACGCTCAGCGGAGAGTCTGCTTATCCCTCTGCCCCTCCTCCCCCACTCGTGCTCTCTCACACGCTCTCTTTCTCAAATAAATAAAATTAAAAAAAGATTTTTTTTTAATTTTTATGTAGTCAAATCTACCCCTCTTTCCCTTTATAGGTTTTGCCTTTGGTATTGTGTTTAAGAAAGGTAGGCCAAGGTTACACATCTGACTCCTATTTTATACTGGTAGTTTCTTGGCTTCGTTGTTTACATTCAAATCTGTAATGCGCCCAGCTCTCTGTTCGCCTCTGTCTACGGCTCCACGCGGACGTATGCGCGCACGGAGAGAGGCTGGAAAGCCATTTCTCTCAAGCGTTAAGATTAGAATTCCTTCTACTTTACCTCTTTCCAAGTTGTTTGAATTTTCTCAACAAATGTGTGCTTCCTAAATAGAAAAGAGGAGTTTAAAAATAGAAAAAAACATACATTTTAATCCATCTGGAATGTATTTGGGTGTGAGGTAAGAGGCAGAGATCTAATTTTACTTCCACCAAATGGATACCTCAGCTGTCCCTGCACGGTCTGTGAAGTCTGCCATCACTTCTGTGTTCGTGGTGCGCGTGCACTGCTTCTCGGCTTTCTGGTCTGTCCCAGAGCAGCCCTTTCCCCCCCGGGGTGGGCGCTGCCTGGAGCGCCTTCCTCATGGCTGAGCTCCGCGCCCTGCGCCGCCCCTGGGGTCCCCGCCCTGCTTTAAGGTCCTCAGCACCACGCAGCCCTGCAGAGACGGGAGAGAGCTTGAGGGGTGCCTACCCACAGAGTCCGCCCTCGTGTGGACTAGGTCTTGGGCATGCCACATCCTCCTGTCATCAGCCTGTTTTACCCTCGCCACGTGCCAAATGGGAGGACTGATGTGCCAGAAAAGCCTGGGAGATGTCAGCTGGGAAGGGGGCGGGGAGAGGGCAGAGGGGCGCCTTCCGATCTCCAGTTTTCCCATTCCTAAAATGGGGAGTGGGGAAAAAAAATAACATTAAAAATAAAAAAATAAATTAAAAATAAAATAATAAAACAAAGTGGGGATAAGACCTCACGTTATCCTCTAAGCCTGGCAGGGGAGAGGAGAGACAGGCAAGCCCTGGCAGGATTACTCTGGCCCTGACCCAGGAGATTTGGGGGAGGGGGTGGCCTGGGGAGGTTTGAGATGTATTATAGCATTAGGGCCAAGCGGGGAAAGGGATCAGAGTCCCCCCCCGCCCCCAGCCAGCTCTTGACAGCCTAAGAGGCCGGATTGATTTTTCTGGGCTACAGAGAGCCGGGCAGTTAGGCCTCTGTCTCAGACCCTTGCTTCTGCTGGGGTGCACCGAGAGCCGCTCATTAGGCGGTAGGATGAAAGCAGGCCCAGCCTGGAGCAGCCCACCTCTCTGCATCCATCCTGTGGGTTACATCAGCCCACGGGGAGGTAGGAGTGGAAGAGCTGGGGGATCTTCGCGGGGGTTATCCCGGGCCCTCAGAGAGCCCTGCCAGGGCCACAGGCTGCTGGCTGGCTGCGCCCCCTATCATCTCCTGCCTCTCCCAGGCTCCCTAAGCAGACACTCAAGGAGGTCACGGAATGCTAGCCGCTTCCCCTGGAGTGTGGCATGGCCACTCCAGGCACCCTCGGCACAGCCAGGGAAGAGCTGGGTGGCGCGTCGGGGTCCCCGAAGGCAGCGACGGCACAGCTTTATTGCGGCGACAAGTCCGCTGCTCCGTGCGCTGCAACGGACCGGGGCTCTGCCGGCCTCCCCGCTCTCTCACGGATGCAACATCATCATCTCCGATTTTCTTATCATCATGGCAACCCTCCCCTGGGAGACAAAGAAAGTCACAGTCCGTGTGGGCAGCCCAGGCCAGAGGTGCTACGGGAGCCCAGGGGAGGGGGCCTGGTTCTTCTTTGGTTTAAGGGGGCTAATTCTTCGAGGAATAAGCATTTGCCATGAGCCTTGAGAGGTAAAGAGAGGAGGGGCATTCCAAGTAAGAGGGCAGCCTGAGCACAGGCCCAGTGCTATGAAAGGGTGAGGTGATCTTGGGAGGGGTGGGGTGTGTCGGGGGTAATGATGGACTTGCCCCACAGGGGTCTTCCTGCATGGCTGCAGGGGCTCTGGTCATAGTAGACAGGCCACTGGTGGTGGGGAGACTTTGTTGTCTGTGTCCCACCCCCACTGTGCACTTCCTGGACTCTAATGGGGACCACTGTCCCCTCCCACTCAGCCCCGGGCACAGCACACTTTCCCATTTCTGTCTCTGGAATGGCCTCATCCAGCTAGGCTAGAAATCATGGGGTGCTGGGAGGCATCATATGGGACTCCCTCAATCTCTTCCACAGCCAGTCCGTTGATTACACCTTCCAAGTGAATCCCTCCCTTCGCCGGGAACCTGCATATGCCTCCCCCAGGTGAGGCCTCTGCCCTGCTGTCTGGCTCCCTGCTCCCCCGCACTCCAGCACCTTACACTCCCCACAACCTAAGGAGACTGGTCCTCGCACAGCCTGAGTCTGGCAGCGCCCCCTCCGCCCAGGACGGGGAGCAGGCTTCCCAGCACAGCCTCAGGCCGCCTAGCAACAACCTCCCCTCCTCACACCGGAGCCACGCTGAGGCCAGATTGCTTTCAGTTCCCAAACACAAGAAGCTCTGGCACCCACAGCATCCCGTGCCTTGAACACTTCCCCATCAGACTAGACAGGACTAACTCTCAGACATCAGCTCAGGCCAGCTCTCCCGTCTGGGGTTTTCCTGAGCCTCAGCAGTGAGCACCCTGGGTGGCCTGGGTGTGTTGGTTCTTGTTGAGGAAATAAGGAACTGGTGCATCCCAGACAAGATTGCTGGTGTGGGGCAGACGAGGGGGCATAGGCCTGGGTAGGCAAGCAGAGGGCAGCGCACGCCGGGCCTCCCACTCTGTGGCCTGAATAAATCACTTATTCTTCTTGGAGCCCTCTCTGTGAGATGGAGGGGTCAAACGAGCTTAAAACAGCCCTCGAAAGGCAAATGTACCATAGAAATCCAAGAGAGTTGACGGTCGCTATCTGTCTCCTTCATGGTCTTGGGCCAGGAAGGTTCTCCAGGTATCCAACCTGTATGCCTCTTGCTACATGAGAAGCTGGTTTTGACACTGTGCTACCTCGCCCCGACACGCAGTCTTCAGGGGGCCCTGGGGGACAGCGTGAGAACTGTCTTCTGTCCTACCCAGTCCTTAATTGGCAGTATTAGAGTAATGAGTCACCGACAACAACCAATTAATTATCTCCAGTTATAAAAAGCTTCACTTCCCCTTCCTAGCTGTCGAGTGAGCCAGCCTCTTGCTGCCAGGCTCCTCTACTCCCTAGGGGCTGGGGGCAGAAGAGGGCATTTCACCTCTCCGGTCTGGTCCTGTTTCCTGTTTCCTTATGTGTCCAGCATGTGTCCTGGGGCTGGGGGACGGTAAGAGCAAAGGCTTGGAGGAGGTGGGACTGCGTCGGGCTGGGGGAACAGGAAGGATCGGGCTGGTAGGGCAGGAAGGAGGCTACCAGCTCCAATGCAGAGGAGGGGGCTCCTCCCCGCTCCCCAGGATCCACTCCAGCACTGCGGGCCACTGTTGATCCCAGAACCTTGGAGGGCTCCTCCTCTGGCATTCAAGCCACGCCCACTCTTGCCCCCAAAACTCCTGGTCCCACAAGCCACGCCCACTCTTGTCCCGCAGGCTCCTGGTCCCAAGCTCTTCCTCCATGAGGCAACTTCCCAAATCCTCCTCCCGCCCCTCCTTTCTTCCCCTTCTGGCAAGTTCTCAATCACATACTCAAAACATGCGTGTCCTCCCTTCCAGCCTTCATCTTCCTGTGGCTCCTCTTGTAAATCTATCCTGGACTCCAGGTGTGACGCACAGCTTGAAGCCTCGAGATCTCCATCGGCATCACAGTTAAACCCGCCCCACAGCGGCGACCTAACAGGGCAAGCTCCCGGTAAGCTCTCGGCTCCCGGCACGCAACAGGTACTCAATGAATGTTAACTGTTCCTCTCATGGTTTATTTCCCAGCCTGAGCAGGGTCATGATGAAAGGCTTCTGTGACTCACCACCCACAGTCTGTCGCCCCATTTCACAGATGAGGATCAGAGAGGTCCGGCTTCACAGAAGAACTTGACCCAGGCTTGTCGGAGTTGGGAGGCGCTAGGAGAGGCTCCCTCAAGAGGACTTGAGGGGAGGCCGTGCCTGGGCAGGGGGAGGGGAGGGGTCCCCAAAGTCAGAAGGGAAGGTGGGGCTAAGAAGAAGCACAGGCCCAAAGTTGGAGCCCCTGCCCCTTTTGGGGGCCTTTCCTCTACTGCCTTGGCAATGCTCCTTCACACCCAACCCGTGCCCCCAGAGCTCACTCCGGGGCCTGTTTGTTCAGCAAAGCTTACGGAGAACCTACTCGGCACCAGCCCCGACTCTGAAACGCAGGATTGCCATTCCCTCCCTGTGTCAGGCCAGAGAGCCCAGCCCCCCTCATGGTCCCCAGCCGGCCATCTCTGGAGGGACTGGGGAGAAAAAAGAAGGGTGGGAGAGAGAGAAAGAAAGGGTGAGCAGGCTGAGGCTAGAACCCAGGAAGTGGGTGGGGAAGCAGAATGAGGTGAGTGACAGGGAAGGGGGAGGATGCTCATCCTCAGCTGGGAGTCTCAGAGGGTCGCCTGAGGTGATCTCAGCCTGTTCTGCAGAGGCCCCGACACCCAGGGCTGCAGCAAAACCCTCTCTCTCACAGCCAAGCTGGCCTGTGGCCTCCTGCGGCCCCTCCCCCCTTTGCTCCACACCGGGCACCCCAGACGTAGGCATTCGCAGAGACTGCACGGCTTGGGCTCCCAGTCAGCTCAAAACCGGCCTCGGCCCACCACTTCCTCCACCCTGGGCCCTGTGCTGGCCACAGCCATGGCCTATCACTTCCTGACTCTGAAGCCTGGGATGGGCCTGCCCTGGGCCTACGGAGGGCTGTCAGATGTCCTGGGAGCTAGGCCTTCCTCCAGCAGCTACTCTGACAGCCAAGGGGCTTGCTGCTGGGGAGCTCGGCCGTCCTCTTCCCTCTGCGTCAGCTGTCTTCCCTCCCGGAGCTGTTGGACCCACACTTGCCCCGGGGCCGGATCACAGCTCTGCCCCCTCACTGGCATCCCTGGCTCTGTTTCCCCTGTGAAACGGGGGTGACGACACCTAGCTTGGGGGCTCGGTGGGAGGAACGAGAGTGGCCGTGTCAGTGCTCAGCACCGTACCCAGCATGGACACCCAGTGCCCGCTGCCTGCCGAGCTCCTGCCCTTCCCGACACGGGGAGGCCCTGCCGCCGGCCCCTGTCCCTGGGACCTGCCTGGTGGCCTGGGGCAGGCCCCTCCCTCTCCCTTGCCTCAGTTTGGCATGTCCCCTTCTCTGGGCTGGGAGTGGGGATGTGGTAATGTTAGACAATTGACACCTGCTTCTCACCACTTGGGGGTCATGACCCCAGGCTCCTGAGTCAGGCTAGTGCTCTGTTGGTCCCCAGCACAGGCAGAGAAGCAGGGCGGGAAGGTGGACGAGCTTCCCCATCCTCCCCCCATCCAGGGAGCCTGGTGATACCTGGCCTCTGACCTCAGCTGCCACCCACACCCTTGGCCACTCCATCCTGTTTCAAGGCTGGCTCAATTTGGAGGCTGGCTTCTTTGTTTAGACAAGCAGGAGAGAGGAGGAGAACTGTTTTCCAGGCAGCAAAGCTTTTAGATAAACACTATTTATCTCCCTCCCTTCCCTCCTGAAGGAGTTGGGTTCCTTCAGAGAAGAAACTAGATCCAGCCACTAACAGCGCCCCAGGGACGGAAGCCCAGCTCGGCTCAGCTCAGGGTCTGGCCTGGCCAGGGTCAGTGCCGGACACTGAGCGAGCCTTTCTTCATCCTGCTGCCAGCTCTTGACAGGCCTGCGGCTCAGGTGACGGAGCCCTGGGGCCAGGCCACGGCCCTGCCAGCTCCCAGGCTCCGGG